CACACACACACACACACACACACCCCTCTCTCTCTCAAAGATCTGAACCTCCACTCCACAGAGATGACATGAACCACGTGACTGTCTCTGGGGGTCTTGATGTGTGATTCAAACTTTATTAGATCTGAAGCAGAATGTTTCAGCTTAATGGTCGAAGTTTCAGAAAATGTTCAAGAGAGAATAAGAAGTTTAAAAAAAAAACAAAAAAAAAACAGATAAAGCAAGGAGAACAGTGTGGGGGAGGGAGGGGGAGGGGGGAAATTTTCCCTGAGTCCAACTCCTCCCACATACAGTTAAAGCAGAAGGACCTTGAATGCAGCACAGACACGTTGAGTCTGTGAGCAAACCGAATACTGCGAGTCTCCAGCAACATGCTCCTGTTCATGGTGGTGGTGATGCTGTGCACGGAGGTCACGGTGAGTAAACTGATGTATGTTGTTTTTAAAAAAAGAAAAAGAAAAGATTGTTTCTGACGTGTGATCACTGATGTTGGATCAGATTGTACCACTGACACTGTGAATGTGTTCCTCTGTGTGAGCGTTTCTTCTTATTTACGTGTATTTCAGCTTATTTCTGTTCTTATTTTTTATTTCTAATGCTTTGTTCGTGTTACTGCTCGGTCACTTTCACTTTCACTTTCCCACCTCAGCCTCAGAGCTGAAGCTGTAAAACACGTGGGTTTTGCTGGGGGGGGGGGGGGGGAGAAAAAGCAATAATGATTTTAAAAAATATGAAGACATTTTCAGAGCAGAGATGTCAGAGACTCAGTGGTGATGTCAGTTAGTAAAAGTTTGGGGCTTTCCACTCACTGTACTCTCTGAGGAAGTGAACCAACTGTCAACAGAGAGAAACCCCCCCAGACTACACTACATTTCACTCAGCAGGACTTTCATTATCCTTCACGCTTCTTGTTTTGCAGGTGAAGACCTGGGCTCAGTCCCTGTGTGACCCACTGACTCAGTATGAGGAGGCCGGTCAGTGCTGCAAGATGTGTGGTCCAGGTAAACGAAGTCACGATTTCGTTTTAAAATGAGCCGGGGAGAGAATATTTCCGACTCTGCTTTGATGAAAACACGTGAATCCCTGGTTTTAATTTCACATTTGAGACCGAATTTCTCAAAACGAGTCGACATTCAACACAATTATCTTGGAGGATGACACAGAAAAGATGCGTATTGCTCTGTTTGTCTGAATTAAAGTGGATATTTTCTGTTTTCAAGAGAAAAAAACTTCCACTATTTTAAATAAGCATCAAATGAATCATGTGGAAGACAAAGGCAGAAATCAGTGAATCATTTCCTAGTATCATTTACAAAGAAATAAAATGTCTGTAAAGTGCTTTTACGTCTGCAAAGCACTTTGTGAACATTAAAGTGGTATATAAATAAAAAACAGTCTGACGTGAGCTCCTCAAATATTTTAAACGTATAAATATCTTCAGGCTTCTGGTTGAATGTTTTGATGAACACTGTTTAACTGTTTTTGGACATTTAATGACTAATTATCATTTATAGTTTCAATTTCAATGTTATTGAACAGTGTAACCTCATGCAAAACCACAACAGGCTGTTTTTTACTCTTTAGCTCTTGTACAGCTCGAACAAACCACATGTGATGTTTTGAGAACTGTCAGTAGAGCTGTCGGGGGTGGAGGTGGTTCACTTCAGGTCAGCTGCTCTGTTTTGGCTGCAGCTTTGACCTTTAAGAGACAAACGTGATCCTCAAGAGAAGCAAGGTAACTTGGGATGAACGTTTACTTGAGTGTCTGACTGTGTGTTTCAGGCACCAGGAGGATGAGTCAAAGCACTTGTACGGATCCTCAGTGCGCAGAGTGTGGGAACCGTGAATATCAGGATAAGTACACCAGGGAAGCCCAGTGTAAACGTCAGCCATACTGTGACCCGAGTAAGAGCTCGTGACAAACAACACAGACCTGTTCCAAACACGACATCCAGGGACGACTGTTCAGTGTTGGTTCTTCTTTCAGATAAAAACCTGCGTGTGACCAAGCCAGAGAGCAAGACGAAGCAAAGCCCCTGCATCTGCCTGCTGGGTTTCCACTGCTCCAGTGGCACGTGTGTCACCTGTGTGCCGCACGCAACATGTAAACCAGGACAATGGGCCAAAATCAAAGGTAAAGCATTATCTCACAAGCTGTTTTCAGACATGCACGCCTGGAGACGTCCGTGTGATTGGGTCAGAACTTTCTCTGGAGTTTTCATAACACATCTCTGGAGGAGCTCTGTTTTTGTTTACAGCACATCGACGCCGGTGATCGGCCCGTGTCATTAAAACCTCGCCAATCTAGTTTTTTCGGCATGGTGTGGAGAAACTCAGCTGCTGACGGGGACATTTTGTTTCTCACACATCAGCCCCTCTGCGTGATTTCAGGAAGGAAATGGTTCAGATCTGTGATGAATCTTTTTTTTTTATCGGCTTTCAGGCAACCTGACCCACGACACCGTGTGTGAGAACTGCCCCGAGGGCTCGTTCTCCACCAGCCACTCCTGGAGCAGCGTGTGCACCAAGTGGACGGAGTAAGTATGGGAACTGTCTAAACATAAATATAAACATAAATATGAACAGACAGAAAGAGTTCCGGTAATTTGACGGAAACATGACTCAAACCGTTAATACACAACCAATAAATACAAGACTAATAAATACTTCAAATAGTGGCTGCCTCTTTGTTATTGGACAGAATGGATAGTATTCCTGATCTGAATATACTGTATATATATATATATGTGTACATATTTATGAATTGAAGACGTGAGAGGAAAAGAAAATCTATCTGTGTGACCTTTGATGCTCCTGTAGCGCCCACCAGAGGACAGAAAAGTGAACATCGTGTGATGAGGATGGGAAGAGTCATTTTATTTACATGAATGTGAAATGGAGTTTTCACTGTTTTGACTTGTAAAGGGCCCTCACCCCTAACCCTTGGTTTAGTTCACCAGTCGAGGGTAAAGCAGTGTGAGATGAGTAACTCTGTGATTTTTTATGTTTGCAGATGTGAGAGTGGATACCACATCCAAGAGAGTGGAACAAACGAATCTGACAACATATGCGGTGAGTTTCGTGGAGGAGGATAAATTCTCACGCTTCTCGAGTAACGTTAGCAGCTGCATGCTCAGAGGCTTCGTCTGACTCAAAACGAAACTGCAGGGGTGAAGAGACAGTGCATCCCGTGAATCTGTTGGTTTGTGGTTTTTCAGCTGTGGGTTCGATGGCGTTCAAACCCACTCAATTTACACTATATCGTGTTTTTTGGGATAATCTCAACATCTAGACATCCTGAAAGTTTCAGGTGGCAGAATGAAATATTTGTAAAGATATATATATATATATATATTCTGAAAGTATTCCTTGGAGTAGCTGCACTGACTAACCCTTGATTATTTTGTGTTTTGTTTTTACAGTTACAGTTTTGCATTGTATTTGTCAGGTATTCAATATCTTAAGGGAATTTACATTTAAAGAAAAAAAAATTGCACGAATAAAAAATTTTTTTTTTCCCTTGTCTTTGTCAACCAGTCGTATTCACCGGTTGAATAAATATTTAAAGATATTTGAAAGATTATCAGATACCACGTGAATAATCAAGCGTGTGGTTTATTTTTTCGCTCTTTCTGATCTTGCAGTGGAACCTCCGCGGCACCATGGAGGTCTGATTGCATGTGTTGTTGCAGTTGGCAGTTTGGCTGTAGTTGGACTCATGGTTTGTCTCTGCAAAGGTACGCTGTGCTACTCTGATCTTTGACATCATCGTCAGTGAGTTTCAGCAACTCAGCTCACGTTCTCTGTCTTTTCTTCCTTTTGTGTTCGTCCAACCAGGAGAAACAAAACAAAGGGCAAAGGTAAATCTGATTCTCTTTCTTCATTTGTTGTCTCGTGTATAATACATAAGTAACAGAGTAGTGCAGCCATCAACAGATTATTATTTAGCACATTTACGCTTTAGAGTCTTAGTTCATAATGTTTTGGGTGAAAGATGCTTATTCGTCCTCTTGCAAAGAATAAGATGATAAATTTGATATCACTTTTATATCTCTATGCTTTTTAAGAAGCCAGGTCGCAAAACTTACTACCTCTAACTCTACATCTCTATTTCGACTGTGCTCCTGTAGGATTATCTGGAATCGTGCCATGGAGACAAGGAGAACCTACAGAGAGAGCCCAGCCTAGTGTTGTTCACCACGCTCGATGAGACCGAAAACCATGAACTGCTGCCGTTCACAGAGGAGGAAGAGATGAAGATACCGGAGGAAAACCACGAGGACCAAAGGGAGGAGCAGTTGGTGGATGCTGTTCTCAGTGACAATGGACAGTGTGTGACACAGGAGAGGGGTAAAGACGAAATCCAGCCCCAGCAGGAGACACAAGTGCAGATGTGCACAGACTAAAAAAAAAAATTCCTCATTTGGAATCGTAGATTACATACGATGTTAATGTTATGACTCATATTTCACTTGCACTTAATTCTCCTTGTGTGAATGTACTTTATGTAAATATATTAGTGTTAACCATACAATTGAAACTGCTGCAGTAGTGTCACGATGTTAGAGCGTTGCACGCTAACTGACTCACTGTATTGGGTGTTTTGTAGTTGAGGGCCTGTTCTTCGTTTCACTTTGCTGTAGTCAACAACTTAGTCTTTATTCTGGACACAATATTTGTGTTGATATTTGGACGTGGTACAAAAGTGTGTAACTGAAGTACTAGTGCAGCATTAATACAATTTATTTAACTGCATCCCTTAGACCTCAGTACACCCATGCTTGACCCTCACCTCAAACAAAATGGAGACAATTCCCATGAAGCTTTGGGGTGTGATAGTGCGATCTTTATCCTCCGACCTCCGAGGTTTAACGGAACTCGGCAGGAGCTCTGACCTGTGAACTCATCTACGAAGATGAAGTTGTCTGACGTCACAGAACTATGGCGCCTCTCATGGAGACGTAGATACAGTTGCCTCCTGTGTATTTTAATGTGTTTCCTGATCTTAAAAGTGTCATAAAATAAAATGTATAATGGCGTCTGTTGCCTCATGCGTCGTTTTGTCTATGTAAGTTTATGTAAGAGCGGAGGCTGCACTGGTCACAGTTTAAATGTCTCATCACAACGACAAACAAACATCAGCCATGTTTGTCCACGCTGCGCCACACGCACCGTGATATCCGTGTTATCTTTAAAGTCTCAAACTTTGGTCTGTTTTTGTTTTCAATAACTTTGTCATTGGATTAATAAAATTAAATAATTTTAAAAATGTGAATTCTTGTGTTTACATTGTGACATGGTGCAAAAAACGGATTTATTTAAAAGTTTCTGCATTCACATCTATTCCATTAGTTTTTTTTAAGGGATGTTTACAATGGCTGCTATTGGTCAACGCGTCAGTTCCCATGAAGCTTTGGGGGAGGAAAGCAGGAAGTGTGTAAAGTTGCCCCCAAACTATATAGCCCGTGTTTGTATCCATTGCGGCAAATTAGCACCAAAAGTAAGCCGAATTAATTACAAATAGTTTCTCTCACATTTCACCTGCAAATGGTCTGATGATATTATCGTTGGATTAGTACAATACGGAGGAAAAGTTAAAAATATGAGAATTCTCGGGGAAGGTCTGGATTTCCAAGAGCGTCTTTTTTCCCTCTTCGTTCTGAGACGATTTATGGACTTTTTCTCACGCAGGACATCGAAACTGTGAAATTGTGAGTGACACTGCATCTAAAACTACGTGAATTATGTATGTGTGTGTGTGTGTTTTAAACACGAGGAACCGAGATTCAAAGTCGTGCGACTTCCTCCATGAGCTGTATTTGGATCAGTGGACCAGACTACTATCACTATTCCGCGGTTTTGAGCTGTGGTTTCCACCTTCTCTTCTCCAATGAAAGCTTCAAATTAGAATGAGTGGAATCAAATGTGCTGTAGTTACTCTAAATGCCCTCAGGGGATCGCTGCAGACACATTAAACTGAGACTGGAAATATTAGTTGTTGTTTTTTTTACAGTTGCACCACTTCTGATTCTTTTGTGGCCTGTTCTTCTGTTCCTGAGGAAAATAAATCTCCTCTGTGTGTTTCTGTTTGAAGGGATTTGCATGGAGAAGGTTTGGCCGGAGGACAACTGCTCTGCAGGTCCTGCTTCTCCCAGGAGCTCCCTCATTATCCCGGATTAATGGAGGTACAGCCCTTTGAATTTACATGGGAACAAACTGGGTGACGGATGGAGAGGAATCCCTTTGATTACCGCTAAACAACACTAACACCCTAACAGGTCTAATCCTTACCTGTGGAGAGGAACACCTAACATCAGTTTGAGCTCACACAGGGTTTTAAAACTTTTATTTTTCCTTTGAGGTGAGGTGTTAAAGTTTAATGTCAAGGATTACTCGGCCACAAAGACTAAAAACCCCACCGCTCCTGTTCCGAAGCAGAAAGTCAGAAAGGAAACAAAAGAGGAAGTGATCGAAACTTAGAAAGGATTTTTTTTTATCCCCACACGCAAAATTGGAATTAAACGTTTATGCTTTTACACGTGGTGTTAATGGTGAATTTAGTGAATAATGTCTGGATGTGTCGGTGTGCAGATGTTAGTTTGCATCTGGAATCTGTTAAGGAACTTTAAACTCACAACTCACACCAGGATTTAACCTTTAACCTCCAAGAATCAGAATTAACTTCAAGTTTCACACGATTCCTTCTTTGTTTTGTCCGTCGGGCTGAAGAGAACCTTCCAAACGAAGCTCAGGCTGCTGTTTTAAAGTTTTAGTTTCGGAGTTGATCTGTTCTTTCGTTTGTTTTGGAAGATTAAATATAGAGTTTTATTTGTCGTGAGGTCAAAACTCTCTTACGCCTTTTTTATGCATTTAAATTTGCAGCTGCGATATAGCCGAGCGTAAGTTTCCATGCTTTTAAATCATATCACCATAAATTCATTAAAAAAAAAATACAGAGCAGTAAAACATGTCTGATTATCACCAGAGGCTGGATTTTATTTAAGCAAAAATATTTCTTCATGTTGAGACAAAGGAAACATAATTTACAGGTCGTTGGTGGAAAAATACATCTACATTTATTTACAGTAACACAACGTGTTGAGTCTTTGGTTTTCCAAAAAAATACAGAATTTCATTTCATGTCAAACTTCAGGAAATCCCTGAGGTCTGAGAGAGTAAAGTGCAAAAGATGTGGAGGAGGTTTCAGTCTGACACTCAGATAATGTCATGAGTGGAGTAACACGAGGGGACGAAGAGTCCGGTTCTTGAGGCCCAGTCGGCCCACAGTTTTCCTGCCGGGTGGTAAATATGCTCCAGAGGTTTCTTCACAGTCTCTGAGGTCGCCGTCTCCGCCAAAGACCAGATTTTGGGTTTTTGACTGGAGATGTTTTCTTTGCTCTCCAGTCCGGATGGCGTGTGATCGGAGTCACTCTGTTCAACTTTCTTCACAAGTGCGAGCTCTCTGTCCTCGTGCTGCGTCTCCAGACGCGCGTCCACCGGTGCCGAGCTCTCCAACGCGCCCTGGACGCGCTCGTCGCTGTCCGCGCGGTCAGTGTGAGGCTCTTCCTCATCCCGCTCATCCAGGTGACATTTCTCCAAGGAGCCGTCGTCCTCGTCGCTCTCTCCCTCCTGCTCCTCATCCTCCTCATCTGACTTGCCCTTGCACGCCCAGCTGACCCTGTTCTCCTTCTTCAGGCGTCGCCTCGCGTTGGCGAACCAGGTGGAGACCTGCGTGAGGCTCATTTTGGTGATGATGGCGAGCATGATTTTCTCGCCCTTGGTGGGATATGGGTTCTTCAGGTGCTCGTTCAGCCAGGCCTTGAGCGCCCCGGTGCTCTCTCGCGTGGCCACCTTGGGGACCCTACCGGGATCCTCGGTTGCACCCGGACGGTAGGGCGGGTAGAAAGGCCCCCCGCGTGCCAGGAGCGCGTGATGGTAGGGAGATGCGGCCTTCAAGTCGAAACCGTTTGTCTGGAAATCAAAGAGAAGAAACGTAAGAGCTAGCCAGGGGGATTTCGCTTGTGCGCAATTACGCACGGTGTTGGCGACTCTGGATTCACTGTGCACAACTTAGTGAGTGAACTATTGACCAGATGAATCCATATTCATTCTGATAAAGTTTGTTTGCAGACTTTTACAGATGAACATAACAAATATCACAATTAAGTTTGCAAGAGTCCAATCGTGAAGAAGAAGTTGTTGCTTCTCTAAATGTTCAACCACCGAAGATTCAAGTTTACAAACATGTTGAGGGAGTTGTGTCAGGAGGAAATTATTCTGTGGTTCGTCAACTCACCATGTGCGCGATGTGCCTGTGGTGCGGGTAAGGGATAAAGTTGTATCCCGGTAGTCCTGAGTATGTTAAAGGAACCCCAGCTGCCATCGCTGCCAGATGCTGAGCCTGCTGCTGGTGCACGCTCTGCGGGTTCCCCAGCACCGGGATCTGATATCCAGTCGGCATGTTGATGCTCCGCTCCAAGAAGAAGTTTCCAAATCCAGTTTGAGATGCGGGCATCTTTCCTGCGTCCCAGCTATTCGTCGGTTTGAGTGAGTGGCGACACAAGCTCCTGGATCTACTTATATACACCCAGCTGCTAGCATGTGTGTGTGTGCAGGAGGGGGGAGAGAGGGAGGAGAAGGGGTGAGAGGGGGGGGGTGGTCCCACTGGTATTGACTGACAGCTACGTTCAAAAGACCCGCAGCTTTCACTGGCAACAAATCCCATCAAAGAAGCCCTCCGCTGTTCCTTTTAGCGTTTTTCGTGGAGAGGCTAAATATGCGCTACTTATCGCAACTCACTGATTTCTGCAGAGTTTCAATTCAAACGCCACCTTCTCGGTGGACTCTCAGCTGTTTGCATCAAAAACAAGTTTGATAATGGTTTAAAAATCAGATCCGAGTTTCGTTTCTAATGTTTCCCACGTTTAGTTTTTTTTTTTTTTATAGTGTTCACTTGGTTTCACTGAGGACGATGGAACCAGGGAGCGGTGTGGTTTTTTACAACATCTCATGTCTGGCGCTAATTAAGCGCAGAGATTAGAATAATTCAGGTAACAACATCCCGCCAGTCTCTGCTGTCGCTCCTGATACTTCATCACCTCCAGATCTGCGCTGCGGAGAATTGAATTAACAATTTGAATAACATTAAATCGCGCTAATAAACAAAGGACATGCGCTTTTACGCACGCGTAAAAGTCACCGAGCGAGATGTGTTCCACTCCCATGCATTAGTTCTTTCATTGCGTATTAAATTA